CCGTGGCTATCTTCCTCTTGCACTGAAACGTGCAAGGCCAGATCGTATAAGAGGTTACCCTTGAACTGAGTACTGAGTACATGTAACACTATGGATGGACAGAGTAGGAGAGTGCCAGACAGATTGGGGTATGGAGTTTCTAGAGGATGGCAAAAATCTTTGGAGAAATCCAGGAGATAAGTTTCGCAGGAGGTGCGGAGGGAGCAGGAAGTCTTTGGAAAAGCAGAGAGGACTGTTTGGGTGATATTTTGAGACAAGGTTGGTGATGTAGCTTGGGGCAGAGTTGTGGATGGCTTTTATGTTAGTAGTATTTAAAATTTAGATTTGTTGGGTGGGTGGAAGTCAGTGCAGGGATTGGCAGAGGGGGCAGCAGACACCGAATGGTTGGTAAAGTGGATAAGACTGGCAGCAGTACTTATGATAGGCTGTAGGGAGATAGCATGTGTAATGGTAGGCCAACAAGGAAGGTGTTGCAATAATCATGGCGAGAGATAACACGTTAGTCAATTAGTAGTTTTGTGGTGTCATTGGTTAAGAAGGGGCATTTTAAAGATGTTACATAGGTTAAGACAGCAAGATTTGGACAGTGATGTGGAGCTGAAAGGAGAGGTCAGAGTCAAGGAACACCTACCATAATTTTTCACCCCTTTCTTGGACTTCCTTCAACACCAAACGGTAAAAAGATTAGTTATCACCTTCACGCCAATCCTTAACACCAGCATTTCAACGAGGTCACCATATCTGACCTATCAGTAACTCCCCCACATGCAAGCACACGAGTACCAACACTGTGTGCCTCCACCCACTCACAAGGCTTCTCGCCTGTTTTGGCGCTTCTCTCTCCATTTTCTGTTCTTTTTATACACATATTGGACACCCTGGTCCGTACACACATGAAGCAGCACACCAGTTAATGCCACACCCACTACCCCAGAGACCGCTGTACTACTGAACTGTCCTACAAACTTTTCAAGGAACACCTAGCACCTTGCCATGAAAGGGGGGACTGATGATTGTTTTATTGATCTTAATGAAAAATTTAGGGGAGGGGATGCAGAGACGAAGAGATATTATGAGCTCTATTTTGGAAAGATTGAGTTTTAGGAAGTGATGTGACATCCATACCGATATGTTAGGTTATTGGAAGCTGTGGGAGGATATCAACTGACCCAGGAGAGGTAGATAGAGAATAGAAGGGAACTGTGGAGAAAACCCCTATGGAAAGAGGAGAGGAGAAATAGACACAATAGCCCCCAGCAAGTGTCATGGCCGCAATAACTTCTAGCACAAAAATAACAACAGCACAGTGATAACTACCATTGTTCCCAGAAAGATTATCCTCCAGCACAATAACCCCTATTGTCTCCAGCTATAGTAACCACCTCTGTTCCTGGCAATAATAGACCTGACGCAGCAATAATAAACCCCCAGCAGCAACATTAACTTCCACTGTTCCCAGCAAAATGAATCCCCACTGTCCCCAGCAATAATGGCCACTAGCAGAAATTTTAGACCCACAGCAGCAATTACAATACCCAGAGCCTCCAGCAATAATCACCACCACTGTCCCCAGCAATAATAGACCCCCGGTGGCAATAATAGACCCCCACTGTCCCTAGCAACAATAATAGACCCCCAGCAGCAATCATTTACCACCAGCATTGGTGTTCAGTACTTTTACCTACCTGAGCACCCGCTCCCCCGAAGTGCTCTCTCTCCTGCATTGCTGCCAGGACTATAATTTATCTGCAGAAGATCATTCTGCGAGGCACAGCAAGGTGCTGGCAGCACAATCCTAGCCCTTTTATTATTTTTAGTGAAGGAAGCAATGGCTATGATGGGAGGTACTATGGATTTGCTTAAGGAAATGTTGTGAGTGCTTTAGCACACCCAAGCAACCCCTTGGCACATAACAGTGTGGCTCCTTCCAGTCCTGTCCTGTGTTCTCACTTCTCATGTGTTGGCAGCTGCACTTTTTTAATCAAATAACAAATAGAGATCAACAGACTTTAGAATATAGTAATGGATTGAGGGGAAATTGAAGGAATACATTTCACTGCACAAAAATAAAAAGGCAGGACAAAATTTTATTTTTTTGCTTGATCTTTTCCCCTATCTATGGTGATGAAGATGACTAGGAAGCCTGCATTTATTTCTTTATTTGTATCATTAAATGTGCTGAGAATATACTGTAAATGAAATGAATGTCATCTAATACTGTGGACCCATTATCAGGAACCTAGAGGGGCCATCCACCCCTCTGTGGAGCTCTGCTTTGCACATTAATAACCACAAAGGGAAGTATGTTTTTAATAGAGTCACCAGCATGGTACTGCATTTACATAGAAAAAAAGGAGCTTAAATTTCAGTGTGTTTGATAACCTGACAGTGTGGGAAGTATAAAAGAAAATGAAATATTTTGTCCACCTGCCTGTAGCCTATAGCAGAGTTAGTGACTGTAAATGGGGGTTCATAACCACGGGAGGCCAGCAATGCCGTGCTATACAGTGATAGGTAGAGAAATAACCACATTCAATTTCAGTTATTTCTACCTAATCCTATTAATCTGAAAGATCTTGAAAATTGAAAACTTACTTTTTATGGAATCTCACACATTTACCATGAATGCAGTGACACATTCACTATGCGTGTTACCCATTTCACAAAGCCTGCCTTCTAAACTACAGAGGTATTAAAGAGGAGTTTGAGGAGGGAAATCATCACTACTTGAAGACAGCAAGGTACCATGGGCTATGTAGCCCTTGGAAATCAAAAGTAAACCGAAGGAATGAGCAGAGTAGACGGTACAAAGCATACAGAGAATCTGGAAAGTTTTTGAAAAAAATGGACAACAGATAGGCAACACTTACAACATGAAAGTAGATTTTTAAAGCAAGCTGATATTGGATCGTCAAAAATAACTATCTGTATTGCTATTACAATGCTGATGTTATAAAATGAATGTGTATCCTATGACTTTAGATCTCCATTAAGCACAATATATAGATAGGTACGAGCACACCCAGTGTAACAATACGCCCTCAGCTGCAATCTTTGTATATCCAAAAGTAAGCCATATAGCAAGTCAATTATAAAACAAAATCAAAGCATACTGGATTGCATAGAAAATTATTTATTATATAATAAAAAGTGGTTGCCGTGCTGCATGTGTGAATGAGGCCTTCAGTTGAACTGTCACTGAATCACAGTTAGAAGATAGTTGTTGCTGTCCTCGCTACATGGGCCAATGTGAAGTTCCACATGCAACTAAACCCTCCTATTCTTCAAAAAAAAACAGGCTGTGGGGAGAACTTTATTAACAAGGTGGGTGGGACTTTATTAACAAGAACAGGGTGAGGTGAAACTGGGGAGAAATAGGGATTAACTTGGGCTTGGTCTCAACCCAAGCTCATCCAATCCCAGAAGTTAGTGCACTCCCAATCAGCTGCGACTGGAGCATTAATTGATCTTTCTATGGGACTTGTCTACCTCTGGCTCCATAGAAGTCAATGGGGATGTACTGTGCAGGCATGGTGTCAGGGTACCCTGCACAGGCATTCTCACACCACATGCAGGTACCCACGCAGGATGACCAAATTAATATGCCCACACAGGATAGGGTTATATGCACAGTTTATTGGTTCCACATCAACAAAACTACAAACCCAACAAAGAGGGGTAACAGGCCTGCAGATGTACAGCAGGGCTCGGGATACAAGAAGAGTGGTCAGGTACAAGCCGAGTCGTTAACAGGAGGGCAGCGCGGTACAGTAACAGGATTGATGAAGAGTGGTGAGGTGCAAGCCGGGTCGTCAACAGGAGGGCAGCGCGGTACAGGATTCAACGGAGAGTGGTCGGGTAACAAGCCGGGTCGGTGACAGGTTTTCAGATAGGAAGCAAGGTTCAGGACATGGGAATCAGTCAGGTTTAGCAACACAATACTGACCCAGCTTCCTGACTGCAGGGAGGGCCTAAATACCCTCCCAGGAAGCACCAGGTGATGGGATGATCAGTCACAGCTGGAGCACACCCACAGGTGAGTACTGGAGCTGCAGGTTCCTTACAGTTCCTGGCTGCTGGAGACACCCGCAGGGGGGCACAGGAACTGCAGGACCTGGCTCCAGCGCCACCTGGGGGTGCTCTGGATCCTGACACATGGCCAGGAGTGGGAGACCTTCAACTCAGGATGTAAACAAATAACGGAGGCTTGCTCTGTTAGAACTCGGTAAGCATTCATCTGTGCAGGGAGAAGGGGGATCAGTTAGGTCACCTTAAAGTGCACTTATCCTTTAAATGTTGTTTCATGCGAGCCAGTGCGCTTAGGTTTTGTTTTTTTTAGTTGTATTTAAAAGTCTTATCTTTGCTGTAGCAATATGTATGTTGTAGTTTTGCCTCGTAACTTGTTAGCTCTCAAGTTCATTGTGATATACATGCCATGCAGAGATACTCTGTGCATAATGAAAGCACTTGGTTTATGTGCGTCAGCAATCCAAGATTACCCATCAAAACAGTTACCAAACAAGCGGATAATTTCCTGCTGCAATATTAATATTGATGTAACATTATTGTGTACTCAGTTTTTTTAATCTAGTGTAATTTTACCTGTCACTTTTTCTTTTTAGATCTAGATGTTTTTCTTGGTGCTAGAATGTGCATATCTTTAGTAACACGAGATACGCATTGAAGAGAAAAAAATGTCAGAACCTATTGGTTTTGTTAATTTTCTTTGACGGATTCCAATTGGGCACCGACATTGGCTAGTATTGACAATGGGAAAAAATTATGATATATATTTATGTAAAATATTTAAGTGTTGTAGTCTGGCATTTAATCGCTCTAGCTGTAGTAGGGAATGAGTTTTTAACGCATCTGTTCTTCTAGCAACTACTTTAAACCCTATGCTGGAAATAGATTCCTATCCTTCTAAAGTGTATAGATCACATTACAGCAAAAGAAGACTGCACACACTAGCAGTCTGACAGTCTTACCCTGTACCAGCTAGACTGCTCACTAATCCTTCTGCTGAGCTGTGAAGATCCAGCACCAAGATGTCAAAAGAAGCGAGTAAGTTTTGTTGTGTGCCTAGGATCTCAGTGCATGTTGCAAACACTTAAACAAGCCAGACACCATCTAGTGCTGGCTTAACCTGCGGCTTCACTGTTGAGCAACAGCTTCCAGACCGCATTGTCTGCAAGTGACAAAGAAAATACAAATAGACTAGCTAACTGGTTAACACTGGAGATGAACCAATTCTTGTTGATGAGTCACAAATTTGCAAATGTGTATGCACACTAATTTAATGAGCTGGGTTGGGAATCATGCTGCCGCTTATAAATCCTAATTTTTCGGACTCAAACTGGGTGATTCCCTGTAGACCAGAACGACAACTATACACATATTTAGATGAATAAAAATCTACAATTTTCTGAAAAATATGACACTTAATTCATCTGATTGTCAAAATTCCCAAATTTGCAGCACAAGGGTTCTGTGTTTTTTTGGCCACCAGGGAAACTGTCTCCAAGGAGTTTGCATGGTTATCTGGTCTTCCCACAAAGACACCCAAGCTTTCCCTAAAATTGCCTTTACAGTGTGGGTTTGTATGACTGAACATTAGACTGTAAGATCCTTTAAGAGCAAAGACCAATATGAATATGTGTATTTTGTAAACCAATGGAAAATATGTATGCAGTATGTCGAAATTAATGATAATCTGAAGAACAGTAATTATGTGCAATGTACAGTAACATACAGTGGCCTCAGCCTTGATTTCACTTGAGTCTGATCAGTTAAGATATAATTTGTGATGATGATTTACAGTGAATAGCACATGATTGTCATTATTGGTGCTGTCTTGCTGAAAAAAAAGCACAGATCATCCCCTATAAGTAATTTTCTATGGCCAATATTTGCAGTGGGCATAAATGTTAAATTGTTAAGATTGTTTTAAAATAAATACATTTCTTGTTAATACAGTCTATATGACACACAGCATAAGGGCTATTATCATTATGAGGAATTAAAATCTGGAAATCAATGAAAGTTGTACTAATCTTCACAGGATTGAAGCAATTAACAAAATAAAATAAAAGCAGTTTTCTATCCAAAGAGTACCATATAGCTGGAATATATACAACAATTCTGGAGACCAAACTAAAGCAAATAGCAAACTACTAGCAAAATTACATTTATACAATACTTTAAATTACCTTTTTGGTAAAGTATTTGCCTGGGCCAAATAAACAAATAAATAAAAATATATGTAGTAGATATATGCAATACATGTGCATTTTGACATTTTATCTTTAAAAGTCACTAAAAGTACAGAAAAATAACTGTTGAACCTTACAGAAATCTGGTGATCAAAACATAGGGCAGGCATGGACAATCCCAAAAGCCAGGTAGCCAATGCTCCTTAAAGATTACAGCAGGTGCCTAACTTTTGAGGTTTTCACTGATTTGGTAATGGAGCTGACTCCGAAATGAATCCCGCTGGCTCCTGGATTGTACAGGCTGGCTCTTGAATTCATCATTAAGTTCTCCACCCCTAGGGAAATGTGCCTAACGCACTGGAGGCCCAGCAACCAAAAATGCACGCTGGGACCCCAGTGCGTCCCCACATCCAAAAATAGTCAAACTAGAAAAAACATGGTACCTGCATGAATCTATAACTAGCCTTTATGGCAGGGCGCACATTGGGAAGGCTTACAACAATACAAAACACAAAGAATCCCCAGCTCACCTGCCAGCTAGCCTGCAACCAAACAAATTGGTGTAACATGCACTTTAAATCTATGTTCCAAATACAAGCAGTGTAAATAACTGAATTTAACCCAGTATCATCTTGTTGCAGTCTTTGTACAGCAGAGCTGGAGAGTGAGCAGAAGAAGCAGCACACCCAGTCAATCAGTTCATGTGCTGACAAGATCTTGCTGATAGGAAGAGAAAGCAGAGTGACAGCGGGATGAGATTGGTCCAAATATAACTGCATGCAGTGGTTCTTCATCAAACACGTTTATTCTTAAAATCTAGCCTACAGCATAATTTGAGCCTGATGGTCGCTCACCTCTAAGTTTTACCCATTGGGGCTTAATTGTAGAGATGTGGGTGGTCATGCGGTCATGGGGGGAGCCTGATACGCAATCAGATTGACAGATCTACAAGTGAAATGATCTTATGATTCGTGTACTCAAACCTCAAAGGGACTAAACTAGGACTCCATATTTGCTGACCATACTCTGGCAATTCTACATGTAACATGAGCATAACAGAGCAGGTTTTTGCATATTACAGGTGAAAGAGCTCAAAGTGATCATTTCCTGTGCCATATCAAGCTGCATTGCATCTCATCACACATGCACTGCACCATACCTGCCAAAACAAGGCACATCTCCCATGCCTAGTACTCTAAAAAAAAACTAATACATTTCCAATACACAATATTCTGGGAGGAATGGATACATTATAGCTGTCAGTATTCTTGCACTGAAAAACAAACACAAAATGCTCTTCAAGCGCTACAAGCCAGCATACAATTTAATACATTCATTCCTCTCAATATATTGCTTACATCTTATAGTGCCCTGTTTTGTCCTGCATAGATTCCCTCCCCTTAAAAAACATATTTTATTTTGAAACATTAAAACCAAAATGTGTATAAAATTCTGAAAATATTTATAGAAATCGCTATCACATCAATCTTATCACTCCATATATTTAACATAATGTTTCCAAAGAAGTCCTTTTGACCCATCTTTTAGATTAGAAGTATATTGCACTTAACATAATATTATCTTAAAGTATACATAAAAATATATATGCTAACTGCATTTTTCAACATAATTTTTAGCATCTTATCGCATTTCTTTCCTCTAACACTCCTCTGTTATTTTTTTATTTTCTAGTTCTTTAAATAAGGAGTGATATCCATCTTCAACAATTCATTGACTATGCATAGTAATGGGTCACATCCCACTCATAGTTCATTTATTTTGGGATACATGTGTCTAATTAAAAAATTCCATAATATATCCCTTCTACATAATATGCAGAAATGATTACCCTCTCTCAATGGACGGTCATCACTGTGCTGCTTCTCTGTTTAGTGCTGCTTCTCTGTTTAATATCTAGTCACAGACTGGGCTGACCTTGGCTCAGAACTAGATTGAATATTGTCGGCCATCAGACTAAGGACATCTAATGGTAGACAAAAAGTACTCTGGGTGAGAGACTTACACAATCTCTTCTGCAATAAAAAAGGCTGCCTGGCAACACTTCCGTTTTAAAAGGAAACTATAATGGTTTTAACTTAAACTAAAGTTTTCCCTTTCAGTGAATCTACTGCCGCACTGCCCGGGTTAACTGCTCGTTTATGCGTAGGAGACAGGAAAAAGCTGTTTTACTTACCTGATCCCCACTCACCAGTCAGTCAGTGCTCTCCTTTTCTCTCCCTCCGCTCTGGCTGTGGACTGTCCCTCAGCGTCCTCACATACAATGCAGTGCTATGGAGCCTGCGTTGTAGTTGATTACATCAGTGGTCCGCTGGAGTGAAGGGGAGAAGAGGCCATAGAGGCTGGTCTAGCAGCCTGGAGGGAACTGGCAGGTGCGGGGATAGGGTAAGTGAAACAGTTTTTTTTTTCCTGTCTCCTAGGCATAAATGAGTTAACCATTGCAGTACAGGAGCAGCACCACTGCAAGGAAAAGCATTTTTTTTTTTTACCTTTGATTGGTCTTCAGCAAAGTTACCTCTAATGCATGATATACTATGTCCAGGTGAATGCTAAAAATCTGTTCTTCGTTCATACCAGATACTACTGTCAGCTTTGAACTTCTGGGTGCTGTTGCTGTGAGTACAGTAAAGAGGAGAGTCACTCTCCCTCTTCCTCCAACCTCATTCATTGATGAAACATCTTGTATTCTTTTCAAAGAATAAAAAAACATTCTGTTATTGGACAAGGGGGAAGGAAGGGTGGATGAACAACAGAACCACCCCTTGTCCATTCACAGAATGTTGACCACTAAGATTCTTAGCATCACCAGCAGTAATCCAGACTAGGGATGTCCCGATACCGATGTCCCGAAGTACATAGCGCCCCGTGAAAATGCCCCGATACATAGCGCCGATGCTTGGATTCGTATCGCCTGGCGCCCGGGACATGTAGTTGCAAGCGGAGGGAGTGGAGCGCTGACAGAGTGGGGGGCGTGGAGCGGTGACAGAGCCGGACAGTGGAGCTGTGACAGGCTATGTCACCTCCCTTAGCCTGTGTTCTCGTTCTTGTCACAGGAGTTCTAGCACAGTGCCGTGCCAGAACTACGGCGTTGGAGGTGACAGGGTCAATAAAGAGTACCTCCAAATGCTATCACACAGGGGCTTGTTAGCATCTGTGTGATAGCAATAAAGTTAAATGGAAAAAAAATTGTTAAAAAATGATAAAATATAAAAGTAAAAAATAATAACTAATAAAAAATGTAACTAAATAAAAATGTAAAAAATAAAAAGGCGATAAAGTAAAAATAATAAAATAAATGAAAATTAAATTTTTTTACAAAGTAAATAAAAATTGAAAAAATGAAAACCAGCCCTGCTGCCCCCATCATCTGCATGTGAATAAACGCGCAGTGTTTTCAATCGCGATTGTGTGCAACCATATGGGTAGGGTGGTATTGCAGCGGGAAACTGCGCAATCTGCCTGGCGCGAATGGAGTGCCATTAGAAAATAATGGCACTGCCAGCGCGATCAGCAGTGGTGTGCGATCCGTGATCGTCTGGTCATTGTGCACAAAACCGAGCGGATAGCTGGCCGGTCACGGAATTGCACACCACCACCGAACACGCTGGCAGTGCCATTATTTTCTAATGGCACTCCATTCGCGCCAGGCAGATCACACGGTTTCCTGCCGCAATACCGCCTGGGTGGTCCCACAAGATCGCGGTTGAAAACATGAATAGGTGAAATGATTCCAGAGGCAGATGCATGATCGGATTTGTAGTTTCACTATAGCGGTGTGAAAGCAAATAGAAATGTTTTATTGTTCTAAAACAGTCTTAAATTAAAGTTCTTCATAATAATAAAGAAATTGGCCTAAAATCATTTGTCTGTATTATTTGTTTTAAAATGTCACCTGTCCCTTTAAGAAAAAGTATCGGTAATTGGTATTGGCAAGTACGTGAGGGGAAGTACTTGTACTTGGTCATGAAAAAGTGTTATCGGGACATCCCCATTCCAGACATAGTATATCCTGCCTTAGCAGTAACTTTTGCTGGACCAATTAAAAGTAAAGACAATTTTGTTTTTCCTGGAGTTCCAGTATACCAATATATCTCCAGTGTTAAATGCTGTTTTTTTTAATATGGTTTATATGCAAACAATATTATTTAATTAAATTTTTTAATATTAATGGACACATAAAAATATATTCATTTTTTCATCAAGACACTTTACTGTATGTCTTTGTTTAGTATTCATATTGATTGTAACTAGTGAAAAGTGAGATGGATACATGATGCTGCGTGTATTGGTACACCACATCTTTGCAATGTATAGTTTACTGTTACTGCAAAGCTGCAAACTAACAAGGTCTCAGTAAAGCCTAAAACATACAAAGGTTTATACAAACAATGTGTTAATAAGGATCTTATAACAAGAGGAAGATGTACAGTATTTAGCTAATTTGTGAAGAGTATTGGCAGGAGAGGTGCAGGATTGTAACGAGAGCACACTATGGAATGTATATCGACATTTTGCTGTGGCCGGGTCATGAGGTTGCATCATTATCCCAATTTGTTTTATGTGTGCTTCATAATTGTGCAGTATATCTTTCCTAAAGCTCTACTGTCCATATGTGCTTCCATAGCTCCCCACTGTCCATCATCTGGATGACTGTCCTTCTATGGGAACCAAATCCCTCCTGTTACTCTTTGCTTCTCAGTTGGCCCTCTTTTTGGTCTCATATTAAAACATCTAAAACAAAATGCACCAAATGTTTAAACTACACTTATTTTTTCATCTAAACTCTATATAATCACTTTTGTTTGAAAAGCCAATATAAAGGAAAAATGCTTTGAAAAAAAGTAGTTATGGATTTATGGGCTTAGCCAATCCTTTATGCATCTTAATTCTTCCTGGTTCACATACTGTAGCTGGAGGTGTGACAGGAGTTTTTTCTTTGCCTAAATTGTTCTAAAAGGTGTCCCTCTTTCATCTTGTCAAATTGTGTATTTGCTTTATATTTGCCACAAATATGTGCACAAGCCTAAATACTTTAGAAATTCTTTCATAATTGAATATTAGAAACATTGGAAATATTTAGGCTTCCTGCCACAATTTATGGGCAAGGTGAGAGTGTGTGCACTGCAACAGTGTGAATCCAGCTTAAATGGACACTAATAGTTTTTGGCCAATTGTTTATTTTAGGTTTATATGTTTTTAAACTGTTGTTACAGTCCTTATTTTGCAATTAAACATTTGATACATGACAAATGAGTCTCATAACACTAAGGTATAGCCAAAGAGAGAGTACAGCAGACACTACATGGTTTGTGGTCTTGCTTGTGAGATTGCAAACTCAGGTAAGCCAGCTGATGAGATGAGTCACTGCTGTGATGACTGATTGAGTTCTGGGTCTACAGGCTTCTTTCAGCAAAGCAGAGAGTGATACAAGGAGGGGAATTTATCAAAACCGGAGCAGACAAAATCTGGAGTAGCTGTGCACGGCAACCTCTCTTTAATTTTCATATCTAAACTGAAGAGAGAAGCTGATTGGTTGCCATGCACAGTTGCTCCAGTTTTGTCTGCTCCAATTTTGATAAATTCCCCTCAAGGTCTTTACATGTGTAAAAAAGCTTATAGCTCCACCTGCTGACTAAAAAAGGGAAAACAATATACACTGTGTGTATATAGATATATATATCTATATAGATACATATACACTGAGTGGCCAGATTATTATGACCACCTGACGTTTGTAGGCAAATTAGCTATAATTAGCAATAATTTCGCGCTGAAGTTGCTAGAGGGCCAGACCATTATCAATAGGGAAGCAGGTTGTTTACCACGACAGTAGAAGTGATTTTTTTCTGAAGATATGGGTAAACAACGCGATTTAACAGCCTTTGAACATGGGATGATTGTTGGCGCTTAAGCCATGGAGCGAGTATCAGCAAAACAGCAGAATTTGTTAAATGTTCAAGAGCAGCTGTTGTTAAAGTGTTTAAAGACTGGACTGCCAGCCGAAAATCTGGGTCTGAACGTGCGAATTGTGGGCGTCAGCGACTAGTCAATGTTAGGGCAGAACGGAGAGTGGCAAGACTGGTACAAGACAACAGAAGGGCAACAGTGCAGTGTCAGATTCCTTGCATCACCTTTCAACATCTCGTGGAGTCACGAGGCGGCCCAACGAAGTACTGATGTATACTGATATATATATATATTTCCTGGCTCCCTCCTCATGTCAGCCTACGATGGGTCAGCTCCGCCCTCTTGACCCCCCCACAAGACCACCAAGCAGTTAAAAGGGGGACCTTCACCAGAGGCCAGCGTTCTTGTAAGCTAATGCCTTCAGGCTACTTGCGGGTGTGGAGTCCTCTGATAGTTACCGAGATGCTGACACCCTACGAGAGTCTCTCCTAAGCGATGTTCCACGTGCACCGGTCACAGCTCACAACGGTCGGACGGCGAACATCCATTTTTACTCCCTTAAATCCCTCCTTGCCGTGCGCGAAGGGGAGGAGCCAGCTGCCGTCCTGGACGGCCTCGAAGGGGAGGAGCCGGCTGCCGTCCTGAACGGCCTCGAAGGGGAGGAGCCGGCTGCCGTGCTGGACGGCCTCGAAGGGGAGGAGCCAGCAGCTGTAACGCAGCACCCCTTCACCCATAATTTAGCAGGAGGCCACATGTGGCATGGGTCAGGTATGATCAGCCAAATGAGGCTCGCGCACTGCCATTTCCTAATTTACGCAAGTATACTAATGCTCTTAGGTGTTAAAGAACATGACCTTTGTTTACAGCAGGCTGTCCTTGTGTGTGTCTTTTTATCACCTTATTATTTTGTAAGCCAAGCTACAAGTTGCAAATCCACTGGGAACAGTTTACCCAAGTGTCTTGCTGAAGATTAGCATGGCACGGGGTAATTATTTGCACCATAAATCAAAGATTAAAGAATCAGCTTTGGGTGACACATTTTGAATGTTGAGCTTTAGGGCAATGAAAATATGTAGGTTTTGTCAAAGAAATCTTACAGGATTCCAAAAAACATATCTTAATCTAGCATCATATTTGGAAGTCTAAGGCTGGCTGCAGATGGCCTAATAAAAACAAGCAATGTACATTTCGAGCAAGCACAGTGGTGTAGTGGTTAGTGCTTCTGCCTTGTAGCACTGGGGGTCCCTGGTTCAAGTCCTGGCCAGGTCAATATCTACAAAGAGTTTACAGGTTCTCCCTGTGCTTGTGTGGGTTTCTTCCCACACTCCAAAGACATGCTAGTAGGTTAATTGGCTCCTGTCTAAATTGGCCCATGCATGTGAGATAGGGACCTTAAATTGTAAGCTCCTTGAGGGCAGGGACTGATGTGAATGTGCAAATTGTTAACACGCTATATTAAATAATAATAAATAAATAAAATAACGAGATGTTGAGGGTGCTTGCAATTGCACAGGTAGACTTGAAACTATAATAAATCTGGCTTTTATCTCTGCAGAAAGCAGAGAAGAGATCCGTACATTAGCTGAGAAAGTGTTTGCAACCGAGGTTCTCAGTGATGACGCCAAGGATGAACTATCCCTCTTTGATGTTGTGGAACACTGCCCCATTGCACACCATGAAATGAATGATCACATGGTTCTCCAAGATACTAAGGAGGCTCAAGATAAAAGGTAAAACGCTGGAGGTGTAATCTGATTGTGAATTTTCTTTATATAGGGGACTTAAGGCCTGGTTCACACCTCAGCGTTTTGTAGCGCGTTCGAACACTCTGCAAAACGCTCAAACACCGAAATCCCATTATTTCCTAAGGCTGGGCTCACACCTAGGCGTATCGAATATGCGCGATTTGCAGTAAAAAAAACGCGACAGACGTGCGTTTCCGAAGGTTACTTGGCTGTATCCCAATGGAAACGCGCAACAAAAACGCCCCAAAGAAGCTCCTGTACTTCTTCGGGCGTAGGACGTTTTGTAGCGCGTTCATACCCATAGGAAATAATGGGATTTCGGTGTTTGAGCGTTTTGCAGAGCGTTCGAACGCGCTACAAAACGCCCAGGTGTGAACCGAGCCTATGGGTATGGTTCACACCTGGGCGTATTACAGGCCGTATGAACGCACTACAAAACGCCCTACGCCCAAAGAAGTACAGGAGCTTCTTTGGGGCGTTTTTGTCGCACGTTTCCATTGGGATACAGCCAAGTAGCCCTCGGAAACGCGCGTTTGCCGTGCGGTTTTTTTTACCGTGAATCGCGGTAAAAACGCGCGGCACGAAACGCGCGACAAACGCACATATTCAATACGCCTAGGTGTGAACCCAGCCTAAGAGCAGCCCATGACATCACCAAAGGGACTGCAGATATGCAACAGGAGATGGTCAGTGACTGCAAACATGATACAGTTGTTGAGATGCTAGAGATCACTGCTAGTACAGCCCCTTTATAAATCAATTATTCCACATGTGTGAAGCCCCCTAAAAATTACCTGTGCCACATTTAATATTTTTCTCAGCAAGACTCATTATAAAAGATAAGGGGGAAAAAACCCAGAAAATAAATAAAGGCAACATCACGTAAAAGAAATAAACCAAATCATTGAACTACTAGAAGCCAGTCTAAAAAAATATCCCTTCAATAGTAAACACCTAGAGTAGGAAAACACAGACCATTGTCTACAGGGGCCACAAGGGCAGCACAGTATGTTCCAAATGGCAGCAGGTTGGGCACATTATTTATTTTTTAACCAGCATCTCTGATAACAATCTCAAATTTTATGAGATTGTTTCAGCCTTCCGAAGGCCAAACATGACATAATTAAGGGAAAACTAGAAAGATTTTAATTGATCTAGTTAATGTTTGGACATTTGGAATATATTTTGTACAATTTTCTGGAATCATTTGGTCTCCTTGCAAGACTGTTTAGTCCATACAATAAGCATGATTTATTGTATTTGGCGGGCTGGGGGAATGCCTCACCCAGCACGGAAGGTACCAAACATCACTGGCCTATAGGTGGCCAAAGCAAAAAGGTATCTACATGTCTTTCCTGATATAAATATTACACAAAAGCTTATTTACAAATGTTAACAATATTTGTAAACCAAATTAGGACCGGCAAAAAAAGAAAATGTATTGTGTAATACTTACAGCATGATTCAATGATATGAGTATAATTCATCCTGGCGGAGCCACTTAGAGCACATGCGTAGCTTGCAAAGGCTTGTAAATAGACAGTTTTTATCTTAGGACCTATGGAAAAAAGCTGCGGATATGCAGTACTGTAAGTCTCTACTGTTTAAAAGTGGATCAGAGCAATGCCAGCCTGGCACAGTTTGCAGCTCCTTAACAGGGTTGTCCACTTGTCTGCGTTAAGCAAAAAAGGGTATAAGGGTTAAGTATGGGTATATTAAGAATGAGGAAGGGGGCAGTTAACATTCATTTGTTTAAAAGTACACCTCTACTTTGTGTGTTGTGGTTTTATTTTTATTTTTGATTTATGATGCTGCTAAGTGCTGCTGGCTATGTTCTATCTGCCTGGGCACATAGCCCCACAGTTCTGAGTGATCTTTTACAGTATAAATAAACAATAGCACTGTTGGGGTACAGTGTACAGTGTATGACACAGCCCTCACAGTGCAGAGCAATTATTCATAAAAGCTCACTCAGGGCTGCAGGGCTATGTGATTTTTGATGTTCTTTGTAAAATAATTATATATTTGTGTGGGTCTTATTTTTCTTTTAAGGAAGAAGCGTCTGCAGCGTCTGAAGACGATCGTTCTTAAAGAGCCAGAGCAGAAAGAAGTTTCTGAAGCAGATGCAGCAGATACACCACTCTATCAAAGTGTGCCAGAGTTCCAAAGGGTACAGATTACTGGAGACTATGCTTCTGGGGTAAGGAACAAAATATTATACACATACTTTGAAGCTGTTTTCATTTTGATGGTGAAAGTAAAAGTCTAATGTCGTTTTCACACTGTTGTGGTGCAATTAATGTTCTATCACTGCACCTTTTTATTCAATGCCGCGCACAGATGGTTCACATCTGTTCCCTGTGGTACACAAAAATGCATGTGCCTTATGGTGCTCTGTGTATTTGCATTGGTGTGACATCTAAAATGAATGGCAGTGCAGCGCAATGCCCGGAGTACCAGGTGTTAATAGTTATTGCAATAATGCATGGTAAACTGCATGGTTTACAGAATGTTACCTCAATGCACCTATGTGAATCCTTATTGGGACACTGAGGAGGTTTATTTGAGGTATAAGAGGAGTAGGTTTGGAATTTTAAACCAGTCACAACCTGATAATCCAAAATGAGAATATAATCAATGCATAAGCAAAGGTTACATTCAATAAAAAGAGTATGCCAAATTAATGAGTAAATCTTAACATACAGTATGAACAGCTGAAGTTACATGAAAATCTTAAATATTCAGTAACTGACAAACTTTCCCCCTTAACTTCTGCCCTTTCTTCCAGTTCTTTAACTGACAGACTTACTTAGTAGTAGGGATGTGCATGGGCTTGGTGTCAAACAAGTTCTCCCAAGTTTGCCCAAGTCCGCACAAAACTGTCAGTGACAATTCACTCTCCCATCCCAATCAGCTGCCGCTGGGGCATTCCTCATCCCTCTGTTATGTGTAGCTGCGGGCGAGAAGGGGGAATTGTCACTGACAGTTTAGCATGAGCTTGGGTGAACTTAGGCCAGATTGGTACGCACCAAGCCGATGCACATCCCTACTCAACAGTAAACAGACATGAAAGGTTAGATATATGGGATATATCGGAAATAAATGTGAATTTTCTTGAAGAAGTGCAACATTACTAAGACAAGATCCTTTTGAAAGTAAAATACTGTACTGAGGGAAATACAGAGGCTACCATTGCTGATTAGCTTCAGGAAAATGCTAGTTGCTAGGCTTTACTGCTCATCCAATGGCCTCAATACGACCTGACAGCTTCCATACACCCTAAGACTAAGTCCTCTGGTTTCAAATAATTTTGTAACTATGTATTCTCCTTTGTTTGCAGTCTGGACACTTATTTTGCTCTTACAACACATTTTTTTTATAATTAAGTTAGTGCCCACCCTTTAGAGGTGTGTTTTGTTAGCATGCTATTTATACACACATAGGTGCAACAGCCATTCTCATATATTATACTGTGATTAGTGGTTCTGCCAGTAGGTGGTTGTGTGTTTGGTTTAGGCTTTGTGTAATGTAATGTTTATCATTCTTGGACTACATAGTTATGATGCAATTTGTTGTTTCTGTGTTCTTGTCATTTTCTAATAAAACAAGAAGAGTCAACCTTGTGTCCAGCATCATCATCTTGACTAGTATAATTCATATCCGCAGCAGCTTTCCAACAGGTTATGGGTTCAGCTACAGCCAAAGCACTAAATACTGCTACAGATACAAATACATTTCAGGGTTACAGCGAAAAAAAGAGAAAGGACAGAAAGCAAACATAATGGCTACTAACAGTGTTTTATCAAAGCTTTTAGTTGCTAATCTGCCAAGCCAGAGCTACCAGTAAATCCTTGCAGTGTCAGGGTGCAAAGTTATTTGTTTTTTTTTTGTATCTGGTGATAGGCTAATAAAAAAAAGAGGCAATTTGGTTATCAGCTGTCATTTGTAACATTTAAGATAATGAGATGATGAAAAGCAATGTGGTCAATACAGGGCATCATGAGTATGACCATAAGCACTATGACTGAGTATCTGACTGGGATGAAAACTGGAGAAGATTATCATAAAGGGTCTGGGAGGGAGGTAGTGAATGTAAGGCACAAGTTATGAGAGAACATGTCATGGAGGCAAGGTAGGGGGTGATGATTTACAAGTATCTGCTTAATTGGCATGTGTCCACAAAACTGAAAGAATTAGATGAATGACCTTGGATTATTTGGCAAGGACTTTTGAACAGCAGATATCTGATGCTTATTCCTATTCTACGCTATGGATATGTGATGGCAAACAAAATTCCTAGCTGCAGAGTTTATAAGCTTGTGTGCTATAAACAACAGATGACAGCTGATCTTGACTATAAAGTATATGTAATCCATAACTGAATGATATTTAGTTTCATAAAACAGTGTGCTAATGAATCTACCAAAATATGATCTTATGTAGGAAAACCAACTGTTGTATGTAATATGCCAGTGTTAATTTTCAATTATAGTATGACTAAGTTATGACAAAGTATGACTGGTAAAGATTATTGGGTACTAAACACAAGAAAACGTGTCTGGTTTATGCCTTTTAATTTCTGCTCAATGGATAGAGGAAACAAGATTGGAAGGTGACCTGAGAGCTTGTGATGTTACAGAAGAATTCCAAAGCCCTTTGTAAGCTTCTTGCATTCTCTCCTTACATGAGAAGGTGCTGAAATGTTTTTCCCAGCCAACAATAAGATCCAAACCTGCTCTAGATGTTTGAATGCAATTGGCTTAACAGGAAGCAGAGAAAGAGGAAATTACAAAGCAGAAGCTTCAGGAAGTACACTCCCACTGACCCTGGGTTCTTTCGTTTTTAAGTGCCATGGAAAGCAAAGAACAAAGATTAGGGTGCACTTTTCAACTTTTTGGTGTTACCACAGCTGCCGTGTTTACAGAATAGTAGTCCCTGGTGAATAGCATTCTGCAGCGTTTTCGTCAGAAATGGAGCAAAGGCTCATCTGTACAGCAAGGGAGCAACACATTGAACCATGTGAGTCAGTACTCTGCTCTGCAAGCAATCCGGTCACTGACAAATTGTTGCCATGTGACATGACCCTTAGACTAGAGTTCTGTAAGGGTTATTTCACATTTATCTACAGTTTAAGTTTCCAACAATGATTCCAACTAAAAGGAATTGTGATTAAGGTGCAATCCTCTCTTTATTAGGTCCTATTACATCACTGGTAAAGTACGGACAGATTAAGATTGAGTGAAGGCTATTAGTTGGCAACCCTGGACTTCTCATTTTCAAAGCTGTAAAAAGATATGTCTCCCATCTAAAAAAAAATTGGCTAAGACATGGGTATCGGTTTACAGATGGATGTCAGCTGTTGAACTGTATGAGCATGATATTGCAATTTTATAGGACCACTTAAAATAGACATCAACTCTTCTCAAGTATTAAGAATGCACCTTGTGAGGGGGTATACTGCTGGGGCTGGGTTTACACCACCTCAGAAAGACATTAAAAGCAAAAAAATTATTAAGACAGGGGGAAGAACATCAATTAAGCATTACCTTGTCAATTTTTAATATAGAAGCCAAATAAATATTGCAGAATGTTTCCTGCATTACAAGAGATTTTCAAGCTCTGCATTAGATAATGACATGAGCCCCCATCACATGATCCCCATCAGGTTTTAACGTTTAAGCTGAACTCCAGGAGGATTGAAAAGACGAAGTACTGCAGCTCTGTATTCATTAAATACATTTTATAAATGCAAGCAGTGTAAGTACCTGAATGTAACTTGGTATCAGGCTCCTGCAGTCCCTGTACAGCAGCTCTCAGGCTGAGAGAGGCAGAAGCAGTACATGGATCCAAATAGTTGTAACGCAGTGCTAATGTCCTAACTAGGGATAGGCTAGATGTTCGAGTCAAGCAAAAGATCGACTCGAAAATCGGCAGTCTTTGTGAACCCAATCAGGGCACAGTACTCTGTAAGAGCCATGATTGTCAAAATAATTGTCAAAATAATAATGACTTTGCCCAATCATGGCTCTCCTGTCAGATGACGTACAGCTGTAAACTGTACAACTGCTTATAGAAGATGAAAGCAGAATGACAGGGACCGTAGCTCTGTGATCAGCTGCTTCTCCTTGAATTCTCCAATCACAGACTGGGAGAGGGACAAGACCTTTAAGTGTTTCTTACCTGCTACAGAGAAAAAAAACAGGTCTTGTCCACCCTCCCTCCACTGTGCTGTGATGTGTTGCAAACCTACGTAAACCTCAGGATTGTGTAGACTGAAATAGAAATCCTTTGGCAGGTAAAACATTTATATTATATGTATTTTGTAAACGTATTTACCTGATTGCCTGGAGTTAAGCTTCAAATTAAAGCTATTCAGGAGGCCCAATTTGTTGTATGACTATATTGATACATTAACACTGTAAGCTTAACAGTCACTGTAAGCAATAACAGTTTTCAATGCAGATCTTCTGATAGAGATCAGTGCCCTACACTACCCAACTTTAACACTAACCCTTTCCAATGAAAATGTAACCCTTTGTTTGCATATTCCCCTCTCCTGCCTTAGTATCCTCTGTGCCTCAGTTGAAACGATCAACTGTTTGTGCAAAAGAGATACCAGAGTCTGGAACCTGGCACTGGAATGTACTGGTTTTTTTTTAATATAGGTGCACTTAATCAGTAGTAGGTTTGGGTTTGCCTTGAAGTTTAATGTTTCCAAAGTATATATGTGTTTCCTGCTTATAATGTATTTCTGTCATTTAACAAAGTGTAGCCACAATGCCATGAGTGGGGTGACTATCTACATTTAGTGTGCTAGGACTGTGTCCAGTCTAGCTGATTACATAGACTGTACTCATTTGGCTTTCCCTAAGGATTCTGTTATTGATTGCATTTGCCTGCTGCTGGGTGTAACCTTGCCACAGCAGAGCAACCAATAGTGGAATATTATGGATGTTTTTCCAGCCAATCACTAGGAGTTTCATGGCCAGTGGTGCATGCTGGGAGAAAACATAAAAATCTGGGTCTGACCATGTGAGAGTCTCTTTCTGAGCTGCCTGACCAGGCCTGCAGCTTAAAAGGAAGAACTTTCTCTCTCAGGTCTGCTCCCCTGCTCAGTGGGTGGGGTTTCAATAGCCAGTTTGTTATTGGGTATTTCAAACTGCAATAGCTGTCTGACTATTGCACCTGCCTACTGAGCAGAGGAGCGGACGTGAGAGAAAAAGTTATCTGCGGGTACAATACCCAGCCTACTATTTGCTGTAGCAATTTCAAATAGCCAATAGCAGGCTGACTATTGCTCCCCATTGTTTACATTCTGCTGCTGACTGTGGAATCTAGCCGCTGGCCAGCAGCAAGTTGTGAACAAAGAATCTCATTAGCAACTAAGTAAATTTAGTTGCTAATTACATTGTTTGGTGTACTGTGCACCCAGCAACTGACAATTTTTTTTATTCCAATAGGATTTTATTAAAGATTTTGTAGAAATAAACATATAAAAGAGAAACAAATCAAGAAAATATGTCCATGGTTAGACAAAAGTAAAAGGATACAGCAATCCACACATCGTCCAACCTAACAATAACCATAAAGAATACACATTTTCAGGTAGACCGTAACACTAGAATGGTTCACAAACAGTGGCTATAGAAAAAATTCCACATGGGAGCAGCGGAGATCTACCCCTTTAACACAGTAGAACAGTAGCTAAAAACTCCCACCCCCCGTCATGAGGCCCCATACAAGCAAAAGGAGCTTAAAGAACTTAGGGGTAATAACACCCGTGAAGGCCTCCGAGGCCCAGAAATCCAGCGAACAGACCAAGTATTGTTTTGTTTCCAAATGTGCGATTTCCTGATACATTGGACCTATGACTCTGCTTTTCAACAATCCAACCTTTTCCCCGGCGATGCGTAGATGTTCTTTTGAGAGAGGGACCAGAAATTCCCACAGACTCTTAGCTGTGGCCTTACGTGACTCCCTACCTGTTGCCTCCAGCTCTTTTGATCTCCCTCTTTTGACTGAACATTCTTCTGTTGGTGGAATGTGGTTGACTGATAGACGGTTTCGTTCATTCATCTCATTTACTCAACCTGAGGGTTTGGAAACAGAGCCTACGGCTTTTGAATCTATTCTTTTACAATCCTCTCCTCCATCCCATACAATTTCTTTGCTTTAGTCTCTCCTATCATCTTCCTCTTCTCCTGACCTGCCAGGGTACACTTCAGTTTGGGAACGGGAATAGGGAACTTCCCTGAGTGCTGAGGAATGGGAGAAATCCTTTCTGCTCTCTCATACTCTTTCTATTGCCAGTAAGGCTCATGAAAATAATCTGAAAATCCTGACCAGGTGTCCCACAGTTCTCCCTCATTTCTATCCTACTGTGCCGGATTCATGCTGGCGTTGTAAGAAGGAGGGACAATGGGCAGCGCTTGGAAAAGGTAAAGGAACCTGGGGATCACATCCATTTTGAGAGCATGAATCCTCCCCAACCAGGATATGGTCTTACGGTCATATGTGGTGAGATCCTGCGCAGTTTTCCGAAATAGAGGTTCATAATTAAGAAAGTAAAGATGAGTCAAGTCAGCAGAAAGGTGGATGTCTAAGTATTTCACCGAGGAGGAGCAGATACGGAACGGAAAGTTTGTGCAAAGTGGTTGTAACGCCCCCTCAGCCAAAGACACAGTCAAGATCCAACCGATAATTTTTTAGTGTGCATCAAGCCACCAGCAAAAAAAAATAAAAGAATTGAGGACATATGCTGGTTGCATGAATGCCGGATAATGGGGAGCTTACTGTATATTGAATCAATATAGTAAACATCATAAACAAAGTGTATAACCAAAAGAACACTGTGCTGTCTAAACTACATTATATATGTCAGACCTGAAGACACACTCTGGGCAGAATAATAATTTACACACTGCACTGGGTATGTAAATCATTAGAAAGCTGTGTGTTATGTGCAGAGGGCAGCTGCAACGTAGAAAAATCTTACCTTGCAGCATGCTGTCCCCTGCACACAACACCCAGCTTCCAGGCACTGAAGGGAGGGAGAGATGCCGCTCAAGCAGTAGAGCACTCCGGTTGCATCACTCATCCCTCCTCAATATCCTTCATTCACAAAATGTCTTGTATTTTTTTAAAGAATATAAGGCATTCTGTGATAGGAGGGGGTGGGAATGTAACATCATCTCTCCTTTACCAATGGCAGAATTGATTATATTTAAAAATAAATAAATTCATAAGAATTTGATGAAAATGCCACAAAATAATTTAGACCCCTTCACACGGGCACCGTCTGTTCCAGTCAGCAGCAGATCCGTGCACAAATGCCTTACTGACGTACGTAACGGATGTCACTTTTGTGACATCTGTTTCCAGTCAGTTTTTTCCTCCATGTTGTGATGGAGAAAAAACTGAACCAATGTGAAGTGTCAGATGTAAGAGGACATGCGTTCGATTATATCCGATTACCTCCGAAGCTTGGGCTTCCAATGAAACCCTATGTATGTATCTATACACAAGATAAAAGAAAACATTGAAGGAGCAATAACACACGTTCACGTGCATTTTTCATGTTTTTGCTGGTAACAAGTGACATTAACCATTAAACCTTAGTGCGCAAACCTTTAATATCCTCAACTTAATAGTTTGTCCAACGAGCCAGCACATTTTTAGAAGTTGCAGTAATTTATATGTCTCTGCAGGATTCAAAGTATTTGTAATGAATTTATCTACATCAACTGGATTAATGACACCCTCTAGTGACAAAAAGTGAACATGCAATTGCAGGCATTGTTACTTTTTTGCTTTGTAAGCTCTACACACAAAATACTGTAAAAGAAAACCTGACCTTATGGAAGTGCTAGTTACAGGTTTGCTGGCTGCCCCAATGGCTTCAGTACTTTCATTGTCAGCGACCAAGTAGAGAACAAGAATGTAGATCAGGAGGTCTGACTTTATTTGTACTTCATGCTCTGCATTCTTGTTTTATTTCAATAGATTGTAGCACTGATGCAAAAGATAGCCAGGCAAACAATGCCAGCAGTATCAGCCTACATATTTATTTTAGTACAGCTTTCCTTTAAAGGTGAGCTCCAGGCAGAAACACTCATTAATAAATCATTAAATTAATTTAATTAATGCAAGTTCCAAAATTTGACAGGATATCATTCTTTACTGTGGTCTACTGTACAGTCTGTGGGAGTTCCACTTTCACTAGGAATGGGGGGGGGGATTTATTAAAACTGGAGTAGACAGAATTTGGAGTAGTTACCCATGGCAACCAATCAGCTTCTATCTTTGCTTTTCAAAGCTTAACTGAACAAATTGAAGATATACATTTATTGGTTACTGTGGGCAACTGCAGCTCCAGATTATTTCTACTCCAGTTTTGGTAAATTCCCTTCTATGTGCAGGATCCTGGAAATGACTGGTATTTCTTAAGAGTGACTGCTAATAATGATAGTCCCTCTACAAGTTTGCTTTGATTATATGTAAGCAAACCACGTTATAGGTATATTTGGTTGGTTGATTCTTTTAGGGGTACCACATTCCATAGAATCTCAGTTTGTTACTTGTCAAATCATATTGGACTTTTAGGGTACCCACACAGACAATGTACAATAGTTTAAGAAAATTAATAGAAAATGAATGTTTGGAATTCATACAACTGTAAATAAAGATCATATATTTGCAAATTAATTGTCCTATGGCTCCATGATGCTCTATGTTCATATCAAGTAAGACAACTAATTTGCAAATATATGATCTATGGGGTCTATTCACGAAGCTGCCGAAGGATCTAGCCGTAGCTGCCAGGAGCGGGAGGCTCCCAGAGCGCCCGGGAGTTTTTTTTCCCTTTTTTTTGACAGCAGCAGAGCCCGCCGGACAATAGGAAACTATTGGGCGGAGCTAGCTGTCACTGCTAGCTCCGCACAATCGTTTGCTATTTACTTTTTTAAACTTTTTTCACTGTTTTTCTTTTCTACCATACTCGGCTGCCCTCGGCAGCTTCGTGAATAGACCCCTATATCTTACAGTTGTATGAATGCTAAACATTAATTTTCTATATTGAATAGTGCCTCACATAACTCCTGAGGAAGTGGAACATATCAGTGAAAACCGTTGAGTCAATTCCATAGAGCTGCTGTTACCCTAATGAGATTTTAGAGCTTATCTTGTAATATGGTTTCATTTCTATGCAATTTAATGTGTGAAACTAACAATTGGATGTGGATATGGCAAGACACTCAGAGGTTTACTGGGCCGGATTTATTATTCGGGCACACAATATGCTTTTAATATTTTTCAACTGTTTTGTATAAAAATATAATTTTGTTCAACTATTGTATATTGTGTGGGCATCTTAAAAGTCTGGTATGATTTAACAAGTAACATATATGTTAGCAGAGAAACATGGAATGGAGGAAAACTCCCCAAATCTGTTGAGAGCTTTCCTATGCCCATTTAAACGTAATGAAGATGCTTTTCACTAGATACATTTTTACTTATTATAAATATAGTATATACTAAATGAAAGGTTTAACATATATAACACTTTTTTTTCAATAATTACTTATAAAAGTAATAAAAGTAAGATATTTCATTTACTTGTATTGCAGGTGACAGTTGATGATTTTGAGCTGGCTGGAAAGGGTATGTTTCGGGCATTGACCATAAGGGAAAAGTATATGCGTGCATCTTTTCAGAGATACCCAAGAACAGTAGCCCAGTACCTCCGAGACATTGAAGGTAAAACTTGGAAAGAGGAAGATGAGATCCATCCAGGTAAGACCTGCAAAGGGTACAATATGTATAAATATTTATAGAAATATATTGAAAGAGCAATTGCAGGCAACAGTTCAAAGCCAATCAATCTTAATGCTACCCAGCAAACACAGCAACTAAACTAAAATCAGAAAATCGACTCAATTGCCTTAATCTGAGTTTTTTTTGTAAATTGTACTTAAGCCAGGGTTAACATGACAAGTCCCATATTCAGTGGAAAGGATGCATCTTGATATGTGTGGTGTAACTTCATCTTTTTCAGTTTGTTGTGTTAAAGTGTAGTTCCATTTTTGCAGCTAAATTGTTATAACACCTATTTTATATTTATTACATGTTCCCATTTACATCGCATAAGTTTAAAAAAAAAATGCTTTTTGCAGTTTAAATTGCTTCTTACCTGCACGTACTTTACTTTTCTTCTCCTTCTTTGTAATGTTAAGAGGGGCTGTGAGGGGTTTGTGGTAACCCACTCTATACTGTGCTGGCTATTATGATTTGCAAAGTAGATTTGAACACTCTCTGTCCTAACAAAGGGTTAAAAGATTAAAAGCCTGGCTTCTTCATTGTATATTAATGAGAGAAACACATTCCACACAGGCCTGTCCATATGGACAGCTCACTGTGAAGGTGGTCAGAAAAACCTGCCATGTTGCCTGTGTGAACATGAACACATAAACACATAGAGGGGTTTTCTTAAATTTTATAGCAAAGGTGAAAACACACTTTAAATGCAAATGTCCAAGGCAGGTTTGATTGTTATGCCCCTGTGTGTAAGCTCCTTACTAGCAAATGGTAATCAGCAGCATCCTGAAAAATACATAGATGTGTAATTAGCAACTAAATGTTGTCACTAAATCTATTAGGTCGAAACACGTAGTAATGAAAACATGCTATACCATCAAGATAATATCTTTGTTCTCCTTTACAGTCTTCAGCCCACCACCACAAAAGGGAGAAGACCCTTTTAGACATGATAATCTGCCTGGTGATCTCGGATACCAACTGGGAATTAAAAACGGTGTGATTTATATTTACCAAGACAAAGATGCCCTGTCCAAGGGTAAACCCAAAGATTTCAACTACCCAGATATTCATGAATTTGTGGATGACATGAATTTTCTGATTACACTTATTGCTCAAGGACCTGTGTAAGTACACCTAACCAGGGAAAACAGACATACTGTACATATTACCTGGTTTGCTAATATTAATCCTAGAAGTGCCAGCAGGAACTAACCAAAATGTACACCTCATATTTAGATTAATATTTTATGCTATCTACCCCCCTTCCAAGGCCCACTCGGCTCCCCTCAAGTTTCTAACATTTCAACATACAAATTTTTAGAAAACTAGACCTGTTTAGGGATTTAAAATGTATGACTGCCACTCCACAATTAGGACAATAGGCTGAAAATTATGCTCAAGTACAAAGTTATGATATATTCCTGCACAGTCTAAAACTTCACCGTTTAGCTCAAAGCAAAAATATTTCCGGCAATAGTTTGATGGAAAGTACAACTCTCGCTTTAATTCAGGTTTGGGGAACAATGTTGAAATTCCTCAACTGGTAATTTTTACATTAATTTTGTCCCTTTGTCAAGATGATTTTAGGCAACTGTGAACAACTACTGTTAAGAGATTTCAGGTGACAGTAGACTATGACAATATGTACATTCCCTTCCAGTTTTTACTGTAAATTTGAAAAACTACAAAACTTAAAATGAAAGTTAACATTTATCAAAAGATCAAGACAACAGCATTATTTTAAATAAAAATGTAAAAGATGAACTATACTGGGGCTGTTTACATGTATAATGGCATTCTGTAAAAAAAACAAATCAACAGGCATAACGCAATCCTTCTGCTAAGATTATGGCTCCCAGTGATCTTAGATCAGACAGGGCAAAGACAACAAATTCTTCTGGTTATTTTGTTTAGAAGATCAGCTGATTTATATATTCGAAGGTCTACCACTTCATAAATTAAGGCATGTTTTTAAATATATAATATACAGGGATCTAAACAGCTCTACCAATAGAACCGTAACAAAAATGTTTACTTAGACAACAATCTTTCTTTAATGTAATATAATTACAAATATTTGTTTGACTGCAGTAAGACGTACAGCCATCGACGTCTTAAGTTTTTGTCATCTAAGTTCAAAGTCCATGAAATGCTGAATGAAATGGAAGAACTTAAGGAGTTAAAAAATAACCCACATCGAGATTTCTACAATTGCAGAAAGGTAATATTATTACTGGTACTTGAAGCGTGAACCTTACTGCCCGGATTATTGCAAAGTTTAACCACTTGAGTACTAGCCTGTGTATACACCCCTTCATTACCATGCAAAGCGATCCATAGTGCTAGACGACGTCATTGACATTTGATTTACATTGTGGGACATTTTATTTTTTTCCAATATAGGACTTTTGTACAGTGTACTTGTTTTTATTACTTTTTCCATTTTTTTTGGCTTTGAGCATGTGCCCACCCTTCTGAGCCATGCCAAGCCACATGCCTTCAATATTGGGAGTGTACCATGCAAGAGGGACAACCAAGTTTCTTTCCTTTAAAAGGCACCTTGTCCCCATGTTGAGAGGACAAGGGCCTCATCCCCACATCCTGTCCGCAAAAGGGATTTGGGGTCTGAAAACTTATCAGAATCTGGAAGCCCCCTTTAGTATAAGTGGGCCCCCAGATATCTGGCCTTCACCCCCTACATGAATGAATACAGGGTATGTAGCGCTTCTTGTTACTTATTCACAAAAATTTAGAAAGTAAACCAAAACAAACCACCAACACTAAGGAAAAAGCCCTTGATTGAAATAAAAAATATTAAATATCCCATGATGTAAAGCCAATGTCAGTCATGTTGTTCAGCAATGTAAGTTCATGTTAATAACAATAAATGCCGCCTAACAATGTTGACCTGCTACCATAACGGCCCACCCCCCGATGATGCTGCCCCACCACCACTCCCATTGCAAAGGACATATTCCACTTGGCTTCTGTATGTATGAAGCCAGCAGGGATCCTGGGTGACATGATTATATTGGTCAATGACATTACCAACATTTGCACTAAATGCCAGATCCCCATGGGCTTCTGTAAGCAAATTGGGAAGCGAGGAGTCTGTCATGTAGTAGCAGTAGCACTACCACCACACTGCTGTAGCAGTAGTGCTTCAGCAGCTGGCAATATTTGGCCAATGACATCAGCCAGGATCCATGCTGGTTTGTTTACATATAGAAAGTGACTGGGATCTGTTGTTTGCTATGGTAGTAATGGTGGTACAGCATCATCAGTCGGCAGGTTAATATCATTAGGCGCTACTCATCATGATTGAAGTGGATCTACACGACTGGACAATGTGATTGATGTTAGATTTATATTATGGGACTTTATTTATTGATTTTTTAACAAAGGACTTTTTTCATTGTGTGTTTAATTTACTTTATCATTGTTGGAATTAGTAACAAGTAGTACTATGTGCCCCATACTCATTCACATGGGGGAAAATATCTTGTGTCCCGCTTGTTCTGAAAGGGTCTTCCAAATTCCGATAAGTTTCCCCCGCAGACCCCCACATCCCTTATGGGAGACAAGATGTGGGGATTAGTCCATGGTCTTCTTAACATGGAGACAAAATGCCTTGCAAGGGTTAGGTCCCACGCTCCCTGCATGCCTGAAAAAAAGTTTTAATGCTTTTTTTTACCCTTAAAGGGCCAGTACACCCTAAAAGTAAGGGCTACCTATTCACAAATAAAAAAATTAAAAAAGGAAATAAAAACAACCACACCATAAAAAGTACTTTATTTTGAAAACATACAATGCCTCCTGATACTCTAACGCTAATTAACATTAACAATAATGTTAAGTGTCCTTGATGGGCGGGCTTGTGGGTGGCTGCATAGGCTCACAGAGGGGACATTCCTAGGCAGACTGTATTTGCATGCACATTGCTCAAGGTAATGCCAATAGGTGGTGCCGAGATTAAAGGAACTACTAACAGGGTTATTCACAAAAGGGTGAAGAGTTTGGAGAAGGTCAGGAGAAGTGAAAAATCAATTCCAAAATAGCTGATTTGGAAAAATTCTCCAATTCAGCTCACTTTCCAGTTCAGCTATGTTGTCCTAGATTGTTCACTTCTCCTGCCTTTTCCAAACTCTTCACCATTTTGTGAATAACCCTGTCAGTGTCACAGCGCTGCAAAATGTTGCTAAAATGAGAGCAACACAGTTATCAAATATATTTTTAAGGTGCCCATGCACTATGCGATTTTTACATTCCTTAAGAACCAGCTGAAATGCACACACTGTGTGCCACTGTCAGCACCCTTTTGGCTGGCATCCCTCGATCAGCTGATCAAAGGAGCTGGTCAGAAAATCTTTGTACGACCAGGGGCGGCAGTCAGTGAGCTGACGGCTCTGATAGGGCATACAATGCAAACAGTAGGGATTCCTCAATCGACACACTTGTAGTGTTGATGGAGGAATCTGCTTTATTTTTTTCATTCAGCCTGTGAGTAGAACAAAAAAAAAATAGAGCAGTGTATGGTTAGCCTCAGTCTGAAGTAGCAGTATTCAGTAAGATTAGTTTTTTGAAACCCAGTACACTGGTTAATTAATCTAGAAAAACGTGTACACAAAGGGGAAACCCACTGCAAACAGCTCCAGTTTGCAATGTGTTAGAAATCTGTTCGTTTTAACAGTTGTCATATCCTTTTTAAAAAATGTTTCCTGTGTAAGTAAATGTATGCAAAGTCTTTGCAAAATATTATTTACTAAATGGAAAAAAAGTTTTACTAACATTATTCTACTGATTGTCATTTTCCTCCTATAAGGTCGACACTCACATCCATGCTGCAGCTTGCATGAACCAGAAGCATCTTCTGCGTTTCATCAAGAGGTCATACCGGATGGATGCAGAACGTGTAGTGTACAATGCAAAGGGGAACCAGTTGACCTTAAAACAGGTGTTTGAAAAGTTGAACCTTCACCCCTATGACCTCACAGTAGATTCTCTTGATGTCCACGCTGTAAGTATTTACAGTCTAATTTTACTTCCTAAGCATACATCTATTTAAAGGTTAAACGCTATACTCTGGAAATAAACACAACAAGGGGAATTCAGTAAAGCATGTATGACACTTTTATGGTGGTACGGTCCCATTAAAACATCCTTTGCCTAATTTATGAAAGCCTTGTGATGTTTCAGGTCACAGTTTTGAAATGTTCGACAGATCCACGTGGTGCTCATTACCGCCATTATAAGAACCCGTCAGCCAGGGCGGGGCCAAGGCATGGATCTGTGAGGATGTGCGGCTTGTGAGCTACGTCCCTCTGAGGCCAACAAGGCAGTCTAGCGTGGCAGTAAAGCACCTATTTTGGGCAATGTCGAAGAGGAAGAAGGGTAAAAGGACCCTGAGGAACTCCCCCAAGCCGGACCTTCGGCATTTCTTCAGCTAGCCCGCATCCGAGACGAGGGTCGGCGGATCATCCAAGATGCATGTGCTTTGCCGGCTCACAGCAGTCTAGCGGAGTCCCGATCCCAGGCGGATGACGATGGCGTCTCCTCAACCAACGTGCGGCCGAACGACTCACCTCTGCCCACCCTTTTAGCACTGCAGCCGGACTCTCCAGCATGCTCCCACCTCTTTGGACACTCCCACCTCCCACCGGTTTGGACACTCACTCACCTGTCTCGGGACAGGAACTCAGGGACATGTTTGTGGCGCTCAGGGCTGACCTGAACACTATGGTGGTGCACTTGGAGGGCTCACTAAAGCAGGAGTTGACAGCCGTTCGGCAGCAGGTAAAGTGGGTGGATGTTTGGGTGACGACCCTAGAGACAGCCAGAGCGGAGATGGTGCAAACGGCCCAGATGCAGGCCCTTACTGCCCTTCGCCTTAAGGTGGATGATGGCAAAAACAGGAGTTGCAGGAACAATGTACGCCTCAAGGGCATCCCGGAGGCCACTTCTGTAGCGGATCCCCGGTCTACAGTGACCGCTATACTAAATATGCTGTTGGACAGGGAGCCGACTCATCCCCTGGAGTTGGACAGAGTGCACAGGGTATACGGCCCGGCTAACCCGAGAGACGGCACCCCCAGAGAATATTATGTCACATTCACTTCTTTACTTTGAAAGAAGAAATTATGCGTCAGGCTCGGAATAAGAAATCTGTCGACTTTGATGGCACCTCCATCTCCTTTCTGCCAGACCTCTCCAGCTACATGCTCTATATGCAGAGACAGCTCCAACCAGTTCTCCAGTGTGTCCATGAGGCCAGAGCATCGTACAAATGGGGACACCCATTACACCTGCTGGATCGGCAGGGTGACCGCCACTTTGCACTCCCCCTTTCTCCGCTCTCCCTTCCCCAACCCACCACTCTCACGAGTGTGGGAAATGCTATGTGCTTAATGCTCCCTGACTTCTAGTGGTCTGGTGAGGCAGATTTATCGGAGTTCATGCCGAGCTAAGATATGGTTGATTGCATATGCAAACATTTTGTTATACCGTACTCGTGCGTGTTTTTGGTTTCCCTGATCTGCTTTACTGTAATCTATTTACACTTGTTTATTTTTGTATTGCATTGAAAAAACTTAAAATAAATAATTTTTTAAAAAAAGAACCCGTCAGCTATCCATTATGCATCCCAATGATAAACAGCCTCTTCATAGGAATGAATGGAGAAGAAACTGCCCAGCAAGGATTTCCAGGAGACCACTCAGCAAAGATCTTGTTAGAGCGAGGACAGGTGAGTATAAGGCCCCGTTCACATAAGGGCGTCTCATGAATGCGTATCAAAAGTATACATAAGTGCGCACTTTGATGTGCGTTCACAAAACATGCCCAAATGCAGAATGCGCTTGCATTGCCATTACCAAGTAATGGCACCCTAAATGTGTGGAGTGAACTTTTTTCCTGTGTGTTTGCACGTGTTAGAACGTGCACAAATGTGCGGGAATAAACATGGACCGCATGTTGCCAAACTTGCGACATGTACTTCTTTGCCATGTTTGGCATGCATCAAGGGACCCAATGGGGTGCAATAGGGATCCAAGTATTGATACCGGTACTTCCGCTATAATGGCGCCAGCTTCCCGGGCAATCAGGATGTCATTACCTGCCACCCGGCTTCTTAATTGCCCGGCAAGCCGGCTCCAAGCTGATTGGCTGGGAAGCTGGCTTCCCAGCCAATCATCATCGAGCCGGCCGTTTGGCCGCCCGGCTTCCTGATTGGCCGGGAAGCCAGCTCCATGTTCCCTCGCTACACTGCCAGTCAGAGGAAATCTACCTCTGACTGGAAGTTCCAGTATCGGAGCACTCTTACACGCCAAAAAATACTTGGTATCGGCACCGATACTAGTATCGGTATCGGTGCATCCCTAGTTCAAACTCATATCAGTTTAATTATTAAAGCCTGTGTTTCACTGGGGAGATTACCCTTTATTTTCTGTCTTGGTGACACAACAGGAACTGAGGGGAAATCTCTCCAAATTAAGCAGGAGTCTCGCTTCAGAGTCTCATAACCTCAGAGTAATGAGAGTTATCTCAATTGGAGGATTTCCCTCACTTTTTAAAATTTTGCTGTCAGTATCCTTGTCACAATAACAATGGTCACTGGGACAAATAGAGGGTTAACCTCCGTCTCTTACTAACTCATGCCTATTTTTCTCCAGGGAAGACAAACATTCCAGCGCTTTGACAAATTTAATGCCAAATATAACCCAGTAGGTGCAAGTGAATTACGAGACCTGTACATGAAAACAGAAAACTTCATTGATGGGGAATATTTTGCTACTATCATTAAGGTAATTATCGTTATTATTATTAATTTTGTTTTTATTACAGTTTTGCAAAATCCTGTTATGGTTTATAGCACTGAAAAGGACCAGCAGCAAATCCGATCATGTCATTAGCATTAAAAAAAATCCCTCCTGTAAAATAGTGTTATTACCTGTTGATCCTGCCAGTAGATCTATTATTGTTTCACTTCCTTTAACAAACCAAGCTGCTGTGCAGTTAAAGTGTCCCTTACAATTGAAAACAATATTACATTGCTGGGGGTGCTAATTTGCTTCTCTTTTACTCAAATCCATTTAAAATTAGGTGTCAATCTAAGACAACCATGTCAATAGAATAACAAAGCTGCTGCATGATTTCACTGCAGAAAAAAACCAGCATTGTTACCCTGTTAACTGGTGGCTGCCTGGGTGTGGTAATTAAATGGCTGGACGTCGTACTGGTAAAGGTGCCCATACACCTTACAATTATCTGCAGATTTTCTTTGGTCAGATGGAAAAAGTGCAACAGATTGGCCCAGGTGGAGATTACTCCTTCCACACAGTTAAGTGTAGATGGAGGAATCTGTTGCACCTTTTCCATCTGACCACAGAAAATCTGCAGATAATTGTAAGGTGTATGGCCAGCTTAACAGTGGGTGGACGTTTTTGAATGTCCTTTCCTTCTCCTGCTCACACACCACACCGCATGTGGTAAGGATCGGGAACCGTTAACACTGTTTACAGCCGCCGCTGGCTGTTACATACAAGCGATTATGTATACCTGTGCTGGGATCTATTGTACATAGACGTGTGCTGGGATCTATTGTATATACATAATTGGCCACGCCCCCAGAACATGGGCATACTCCCTCTGCTCATTGAATGTGGACGCAATATGTATTACATCTCTGCCTCTTTCAGCCTGTCATTCCACCAGCTGCTGTAGCTAGAGAAGAAGCTGGGAAGCAGCTGCTTCATTAGCTTCTTTGGGGTCCCTAGATGACATTAGAGGACCTGTCACCATGACTATGCTAAATAGTCCCCTGTGTGATAACAATAAATTTAGGTGTAAAAAAAGCTAATTTAAAAATGAAGTCAAATATTTAATGCCCCCTATAGACTTCAATAAGGTTTGCTGTTAAAGTGACATTAAACCCTCAGATTTTTTAACATAAACCAATACTGTAATGTGTGCCTTACTGTAATCCATGGTAGTTTCCCTTCTCTTTGCTGCTCTTCCTTTTAAATCCTCATGTCTTCTCATGCTGGGGGAGAACTTCCCTTTGCAGCTGAGTACATCTTCCTGTAGTGCTGGCTCAGGTTGCAAACCTACACACAGACACCATGTATCCATTTCAGAGACAAGGCAGTCTGCTGCAAAACAGAAGTTCTGCCCAGCATGAGATACAGATTTAAAAGGAAGAGCAGCAAAGAGAAGGGAAACTACCATGGATTACAGTAATGCACACATTACAGTATTGTTTTATGTTAAAAAATCTGAGGGTTTAATGTCACTTTAAGTTTGAGTTTTGTGAATTTCAGACATTTCGACAAACCCCCTACGATTCAAAACCAGGCAGATTTGCTCATCCCTAATCATCAGTTCTTGGTACCGCCCCTCCAAAATATGCATTTGGCATTTTTCCATGGGGTTATTTGAGAGAAAGTTAGGTGTGTGTTGAAAAAAAATGATCCCTCCCATGCCATCTTGAATGAAGATATTCTGTTCTGATAATCTCCTGAAAATCTCCTTTTATATGCAATTATATATCAGTGGGCTGTTTTGATAAGGCATACAATAACATTTTTAGGTATCACATGTACATATTTTAAAGCATAATCCTTAGTAAACATTTCCATCTTAGGAAGTGGGATCAGATTTAGAAGATGCTAAATACCAGTATGCTGAGCCCCGCCTCTCAATCTATGGACGCACCCCAGATGAATGGGCAAAACTTGCAGGTTGGTTCAACAAGCACAAAGTCTACACTCCAAACATGAAGTGGATGATTCAAGTACCAAGAATCTAGTAAGTATTTCTATGATACACTAGTGTTTGATGTCTGTACATACAACAAAAGGCATTCTTTAGTGCTATAATTGTTCTTATTTTAGCTCTGATGAAGGGGGGGGGGGGCTGTTTGTAACCCCGAAACGCATTGGTTGTTTTACTCCATGTTATCCTGCCTACAAATTAATCTAAGACCATTGATGTGGCACTATCATTACTTTCTTCACCATAGGATTCCACCTAGAATGCCCTGTGAGGCCCCCTAAGAGATAGATATAACAAAAGCAATTGAGCACCAGGTACTAGATGCAGTTATTTGATATTAGACTTTAATATTTCAAGATCCAGTGCCACATATCAATACCTAAATCCTGATGTGACAGCCAGGGTGTTTTCAACCCCGCCCTGGCCACACACATCACATGCCGACAATGTCAGACGGTATGTGTAAGTGTGGCGGGAGTCCAGGAAGATGAGGGGAGAGACGGGCGGTTGAATTGGGGAGGCTGGACATACGAGGAGTGATTCCAATTTTATGAAAAAGGAACTCCAGGATAGGCATGTTGTCTCTCCTGTTCTCCTGCCAACGTGCTCTCTCCATGCTCTCTGTTTCCTGGTTGATTAGAGATATTCCAGAAATGCAGAACTTCTTACCACTAAAATTCTAAAGATGGCTACCTCCAAAAACTTCCTGATGAAGCTTCGGCGAAATGCGTAGAAGGCTGGAATGAGTACAGAATTACAGATGATTAATATGACTAATTGTTTTAATTGTTTGAAGACATTGTTTTATGAAATTTATAATATAAATAATGGATTACATTGAGAATATGCATACTATGTGTCTGCATGGATTCCAGGGAGGTGTAATGCTTTAATCTGTCTATCTCTGTAATTTTTAAGATGAGTGGATATGTTTTTGTACACACACACACACACTATATAAATGTTATTTCTAACAAAATTGAATTTTACTTGACATTTTTTTCATGATGTTAGAAGGCAGCCAATGACCTTTTCCTCACGTATGATGCTTTTGTTTACTGACTGCGGTACAAAACTGTTTTGTATATTGCTATATATGACTTTCATTTCCATTCATAAGTAGGGCAGCTGGTTCCCTGCCATGGGAATAACAACATCAGGGTGGATATAGGTAAAGGTTGTTATTTTAGCAGTGAAAACAGGAGGTGCTACTACGAAAATACTTGGCAAAGAAATGTTAGAGGCACCTTTCGCTCAATTAGGGCAACACTACAAAACCACAGCCCTTCCAAGAAAAATCAGCCTAGTTAAACCAGTTTCCATGTGTATGCTAATGACACACACTTCTCTGGTAAATTCCTTGATCCCATGTTCAGTAACACACCTCTTTGCACCCTCAACCATCTGGCATTAACGCTCCAGCAACATGCATTTTCTCTTTCTCTCTATGTCAGATCTCGCAAAGCAAACAGAAAACAAACACGTCTATGACTCTGATTTACTAAAGGAGTAGATAGAGTATGTTCACTTTCAGTCAATTGTCACTTATCTTAGTGAATGAGGAGAAATAAAGTGAAATATTATTTTGCAAAGACTATCCAGTCATGTGCAAGCTCAATAAGATTCCTGTGCTGTTAGGAGACACGCAGAAAGGAGGAGAAAGAAAAAAGAAGTCACTGGCGACTTATCAGTGTGTTGCTGGTCTTCACTACCTAGTCAGCAGAGCAGGGAGATGACACAACTACATTCCTTTACTCTAAAGGTGCCCATACATCTTACAATTATCGTTCGATTTTTGCCCGCAATCACGGTTTCGTTCGATAATCGGCCAGTTGATGGGAAGTGCACAACTGCAATAACTGGCCGGATTTCGTCTATCGGGCAGGCTAGAAAACATTTTTCAAAATGAACGACAATAGATGGATTAGTGGCTTCGTACAACAAAAATCGCAAGATGAACACTGCACATGTGCAAACAAAAATCTGTTCTGTCAATCGGCGAAATTCAGGCCAGTTAGTATTGCTGATGAACGATTATCAAAATCTACATTGGTCTGTGCATGATGGGCTATTTGAAGGAAAGTTGAACGAGGGTGCGATGTCGGGACAAAGAAAATTGTACAATGGTGGTAAGGTGTATGGCCACCTTTACAGAGAAAGTGGTGTCTCCATCACAAGAGTGCTCTTTAGCAGAGCTGTATGAATCGCAAAGGTTGTTGAGCAGGATAAAAATTGTTTGGGAAATAAGACAGTTCATATTGGATTATTTAAGCTGTATATTTAGCTGTTTGCCTGGAGTTCAGCTCTAACATACAGTATGTGTAATACTATAGAGTGGACCTGTACTGTATATTGCAATTTATGTGAAGACCTAAAATTTAATGAATCTTATTTAAACAGAACAAGCGTCAAAATCAAGGCCTTAGTCTTGATAATAACCCCCTTGTAATTTTACATTATAGTGATATTTTCAGAGCTCAGAAGTTTATTCCACATTTTGGAAAAATGCTGGAAAATATCTTCTTGCCAGTCTTCGAAGCTACTATCAACCCCAACGCAAACAAAGAACTGAGTGTGTTCCTGAGACATGTAAGTGTGTTTATTTGACACGTAAATGTGTGGCATCATCAATCCTCCACATCTTAATTTCCATTCTGTCCTTACCAAATACTACAGCCAAGATAATGGTTTTTGTGTTACTTGACTACATTATAACTACATGTTTTCCTATGCCTGCCACATGCTCATCTAATACTGCGGAACTGTAAAATTGTTCCCAATAAATCTGCTGTGTTATGATTTTAAAGAAGCCTTTACAGAATAATTTTTTGTATTTATTCATTAATTAATTAATTTTTTTATGCAGAGACAGTTTTCTGCATAGCCAACATAAGCCATGGCCTAGCAGGGCTGCCAAGGGCAGCAAGCATCTTGTTGCTGAATGTCACTACTGCAGGTTTCAAAGACTCAGCTCCCTCTCCCCCTGGCCAATCACAAAACACCCAGATCCAGGCTTCATTTTGTAAATGGCCAGGAGGAGAGGGCAGTGGAGATGAGACCGTAGCACTGAGATCTGTGAGACCTGCAGCGCTTACATCCAAGTGGACACAGAAATAGAACCAGGAGCTGTGCTTCCACCCGCATGAAAACAAGAAGATTTGGGGATAGTGTTCATCACAGGAGGTGGCTTTTGAGTAAACATCAACTGCTTTAACAAAACTTAACTGTGCCCAAAGTTTGGTTTTAAAGGTTCCAGACGGCCACATATTAGTCTTCCAGTGCCATCTTGCCTGGTTCCCAACAGTGTTTTAGGATTTTTGTTGGTAAAATAGTCTACTCTGTATTCACAGTTCAACTACTCTGAGCCAAAACACGTAGAGTCAAATTTCTAGCAAAGTAGGGTTATGTTTGTTCCAACTCTTCAGTTGTAGGTGTACTGTAGGTTGTCCACAGAATGGACAATTTGTCTCTTTTACTCCTCCATCAATCTTCTGCACTCTGATTTTGTTAGTGAAATACTATTGTATGGGGCACCTTGAAAATATATCTTATGTTGTGATATGCAATTGTCTTACATTCTTGAATGGCCTTAATTTAGGCTTCATTGACACACAACGCAAGAGCAAAATTGTATATTGCATATGCGTATGTGCGTATGTGCGTATATGCGTGCACTATATGCAATCCCAGAATGCATCATTCGTAATAGAACATTTTAATGAACTGCATGAGCGTACATGCGCGCAAACACGTGTATATGTGTAAAATACGCAGAAATACGCTGCCCGGATGCATCTCGGTTCCATTCTGTTTTTGCGCATGTTTGCGCTACGCAAATATATGGCTCCATACGCAGCTATGTGTATGGAGCCATTTATTTGCATATGCTGCATATGGTACAATACGCGCGTACGCGCATATAAGCACGTATATGCGCGGTAGGTTGAATGAGGCCTTAGTATGTCAACAACTTAAGTATAAACATTAGTAATCCATATCAGCTAAGTATAAACAATTGCTGAAAGCCACAACTAAGTGTTAATATACGATACTTAAAGGGGTTCTAAACCCTCCGTTTTTTTTTTTGCTTATATCTACTACTAGCATGCAGTAGATATAGGCAAGAAGTGTAAAAAAAAAAAAAACCCGCTTAAAATCATTTAAAACGTACCTCGTTATCGCCGCTCGTTCCCGCGCCGAGAATCAGGAACTGCTCGTACGGCCGCAAAGGATCTTGGGGCGGGCGCATGCGCAGTTCCGATTCTCAGCCGGGAGACGAGCAGAGACGCAAGGTAAGTCTATGGACGCGTGCACCCGCATGCAGACACCGCTGGATCGGAGGGACAGAGCAGTCAGCGCTGGATCGGAGTGACGTCACTCCGCTGGAGGGACAGATGAAAACATGGGGAAAGAAGAGGAAGATCGGAAAAAGAGACATCATTTAAGGTAAGTGCTAACATTTACATTGGGGGGAGGGAAATTTTTTTTGCCTTTAATGTCACTTTAACACCATTGTTTTTTGCACTATGTTGTTAAATAAAGGTCTTTGTAAGATTTTTATTTATGCATTTGAAATTAAAGCCCCATTGCAGCCAAAACTTTTTTCTTAGTTTTTAGAAGGAAGGGTTAGCTCCTCTGTCAAGTATTATTGCTGCCTTTGTCACCTTTGGGGACCATGGGTATTTGTGGGCAAATACAATGGGTAAATCTCCCCAACAGGAACACAGACAACAATTCAAACTTGACAGACGTTCAGAGCCTTTTCCTCTCTATACAAAATACCTACGTTCTTTTTAAGGTTGAGGTTTGCTGTAATTAAAGCATTTTGAATTATACTAAAGTAGAGCTTAAAAATAGCGTGAACTACAAGTGGTACAGAAACACGTTCATTGTTCTTTACTCTGATTTTTATTTGACAGATAACTGGCTTTGACAGTGTGGACGATGAGTCTAAACACAGCGGTCACATGTTTTCAACAAAAAGTCCATCACCCCAGGAGTGGACAATTGAGAAGAACCCATCATACTCATACTATATCTACTATATGTATGCCAACATTAGAGTGCTGAACAACCTCAGACGGTATGTTTTAGATCTCTGCATATGTTATAGATCTATCTATCTATCTATCTATCTATCTATCTATCTATCTATCTATCTTATCTATCTATCTATCTATCTATCTATCTATCTATTGTAATTTCACATGGCTATTGATATTAGACTGGAGGATATACCTAGGATTCTGTGCAGGAAGAAATAAATACTGTCAGAATTGCAGAAGTAGAAGATCCTGACAAATTGAGGCAATTATAACAAATATGGTTTTCAATAAAATTCTTTAAACTAGTTTCCAATTTATATATAAACGCTCCATATTACATTCTTCCATACTTTCTTTATTTAAGCGAACAGGCATACTTTTGTGATTTAAAGCAATGGAGGGCAAAAAGTAATTAAATCATTTCTCATGCATCTTTGTTACTCATGATAAGCAGCTAAAAAATGTCAACAGCATAGATTAATTCTTCCCATGAAATTAGTCAGACAGCTTGCAAAAGTCACAGTGTGCTCACAGATATATAGCAATTTCCTGATTTGACTGTAACCAGCCAGTTAAGATGCAATGTTGTTCCATTTATGTAACAAAAAGTGTCTCTTTTTAATAACTCACGTTGCATTGTTATGTTAATGAACTACTTGTACTTGGTCATTCAAGTACAAGTAGTAAACATACTTGTACTTGGTCATACAAAGAAGACAATGCAAGTCTTTCTTGCAACAATAATATTGTCAGGTGAATGATTGGGATCCATGATGGGTGCAGGAAACTCTGTAGATGTAATTCCCCTGGATTCTCTGCTTACATTAGTAAGTGCAATGTAAAATTAGGTATGAATGCCTAATATTATTAATGAGGTTTTCAGAGTCCTGTTTCTGTACAGCCTTGCACACTGTGTGCACATGTCTCCTGGTGACCACCACCTTAGTGTTGGTTTTAAGTGCATACCAATTTAAAGCCAACATATACCATTACAATCCAAGAACAGAGCCTCTTCCATGTTTTCCAACATCCTCCCTCTTGGTTGGGTCATCAGGAATCAACCCAAGCAAACACAGGACAAATTTATGAATTACATGGAGCTGATGTCCTTGGTGGGAACTGAACCCAGCTGCAAGTCAATCTCTTAACTTCTAGTACTTTTGTGGTTGCAATAGCACAAACATAACTATTATTTTGTAGCATTGCTAACTATTGTACTGAATTTGCTGAAAAATACAATAATAAAAGCATGCTTATTTTTTGGTTATTTATAAACACTTTGATATTGCAACACAATTCCTCCTAATATATGACCCATATTAGGTACCATTATAATTTTCGTCCTACCCATCCTGACTGTAGTAAAAAAAATCCCTTACAGGAAGAATGTGAGCAGATGCTTGCCAAATTCTGCTTCATATTCTACATCCACCCCGTGGGAAAAATACTATTTTGCAATAATCCCTCATAATTAACATTTCTGTCATAGTTACCAGTGACATATCTTTTACCTACATGTCAATAGTGCAAATCTCATTAACTGCATACAATATACCTGTGAATCAAATACTTTTCTCTATTAAACTAACAATTATCTTGATGTGAATGAAATGCAGAATTTGTGTATTAAGTTATGAAGGCATTGTCTAGATTACAATTGACTTGTAAATTAAGGGATTACAATGAATGTGCTAAATGGGTAGTATTAATCGTAGAAGCTAATACTGGGCATTCATTTAAACATGACATTCTGGTTAAGTGGATGATCACTGTTGTGTGGTAGCTGTTTTGTTTAGTAGTGTTAAATTGTATAAAACCTTTCAAGTTAGAATCTGGGTTTGGCAAATTG